TGTTTCCATGGAGATTGATGAGCTGATGTGACAAGAGAAACCTTCACTTAGCACATGCTAACACGCTGCGAGCTGGTGTGTGTGTGCACGTGCACGTGCACGTGTGTGTAAACCTAAACCCAGAGTGGATGTAAGCACAGAGCAGATCAGCTGATAGCGGAGGGTCAGTGCTGCTGCAAAACACGAGGCAACAACCAATCAGCGTTCATGCTTCAGAGCACCTCACAGTGGCGTTAGCATCAACATCTGTCCCTCAGACTGAAAGATGAGCTCCAGATGTTCAGCTGATGTCAGACTACAAATCCCATCAGGCTCAGTGAGTGTGAGGCTTTCACCTGGATGTGGGTGTGGCCAAACAGCCTCTTACTGGAGAATAAAGACATGTTGTTTTGGTCATGTGACAGAGACACCTCATCTACTGTGTGCGTGTGCATACAGCCACACCCCCTTTCTCTGTGTAAGGAAACACCTTCACCTGGCGAAGGTGACAGAGTGGTGATGATGTAAGAGAGAAGCCGCCAAGGCCAGAGAGACGCAGAACGTCCGTCTGCAGAGTCTGAGGTCAGACCAACCACGAGACCGTGTTTGACAGACGCTCGGGCCGAGGTCATGTGGGCGATGACGCCCACCAATCACAGAAGTAATTATAATGACGGATAAGGTCACGTCAGGTGACACAGACAACATCAGGAATCCTGCAGTTTCATTAAAAGGTTAAAGGTTAAAGGTCAAAGCGCGTCCGTTGAGAGTTCAGTAGTAATAATGACAGCAGTGACCTTTGTCAGGAGTTTGTACACATAATAAATAAAACAAATATGTTAGTTACCTGTAATACCTGTGTGTCTGTAGGTGAAGGAGCTGGGTCGAGCTGACGAGGTGTTGGACCTGTCGGACTACGAGCGCTGCGAGGAACTCAGGAAGAACAAGAGCCGCAGCAAGAAGAACCACAGCAAGTTCAGACTGCAGCGCTGCAGCTCGCCAGGAAACACGGTACAGCTGACACACCTGCACACCTGACACACCTGCTGTTGCCAGCTCACTGTCAGGTCGACCTCACCTGTCTGCTCTCAGCCTGCTGTCCCAAACGACCAAAGCCACCACACCCGGTCCCTCGTTATTATCATCCACCCTTTTTCCTCCTCCAGCTCATCCGAGGGAACACCGAGGCGTTCCCAGGCCAGCATCCTGGCTCTGCCCCGGGGCCTCCATCTGTATGAGGAGGAGTCTTTGTAAAACTTGGAATTAGGTCACAGAAACATATTTTCAGAACATCAAGGCTCCTTTTTCCTGGTGATAAGTGTCAGTAAGCTCCTCCCACATGTTGGTGGTGTCACGAGAATCCCGCCTGACGGCGGCCTGAGATTCATCTGTATTTGAGTCGGCGGTCACGTCCACAGACACTTCCCATGGTGTTTGGAGTGACCGCCATAAAAATGCAGCAGGCGAGCGTGAAACTAATGAAAGCTGCGTCCATGTTGGGCGTGCTGGTCCCATCAGAGTCCAGAAGGAGCGCCAGCAGGGGAGGACTCGCTGTGATTAACACCGTCCACGCCTCCCGTAAAGAGCAGCAGCAGCGGTCTCAGCACAGAGGCAGAGCTCTGATTCGTCAAACCTCCTGTAACCTAAGGTCATAGATTATTCATGTTCCCAGGCGGCTCCTGTGTCGCACGGTCTGCACATGTGCAGAAGCTCAGAGTGAATCTGAATAAAACCTCCGCAGCTGGAGCTGTTATTGACCCGACTCAGCAGCGGCTGTCAGTGAGCACAGGTGGAGCTGCAGCTCCAAGAGGCTTCCCTCGACAGCAGCACACACACACACACACACACACACACACACACACACACACCCACACACACACCAGATGTTCGCAGATACCCAGAATGCTCTTGGGGAAAGGGGGAGGGGCGGATCAAGTGTCCTGCAGACTGGGTGGCAGATTCTATTACACACACATACTTGTCTTTGGGTACTTGTGAGGACCATCACTGAGGTGTGTTACCTGAACGGGTCCTGGTCTTGAACCCTCCAAAGCTGAAATGTGCCATGAAATGCCAGAATCTGTGCTGCAGGACAAATTCTCGGAGGGGTGGAGACCTGATATCAAGGTCCGCCTCCTGCACCGCCAAAGTCTCTGTGTGGTCAAGCCACGGCCTCTTATTCCTCTTATGGAGGCTTATTTTATTCATACATTTTATTACTAACTAACCTTTTTCTTAAGCTTCACACAGATATTTTATTTTTAGGCATTTTAAGTTTACTTTTCTATTGATACAATTATAGGAAATCTCTTTTTCTTGTTCATTTATATGGATTTTTCCATCTATATGTATTTGATGTATTTTTTGTTAAGATATGCGGGCGATCTTTATCTTCAAGCTCGGGTCCTCTACCAGAGGTCTGGGAGCTCGAGGGCCCGGCGCTCTTCTCTGAGGTCTTACAATAAAGTTTAAACTCCAGGCGTGCTTGAAAAAATAACATTTTATGAGCTTTAGCTGAGTTAAACGTTAGCAGGAAGTTAGCTAACTGGTTTCCAACTAAAGAGGGTGTTTCATGTTCTGAGTGAAAGATCTCTAAATATACCGCTCGGCCATGACTGTGGGGGTTATCAAAATTAATTTCAGAGATATTTGGAGGGTTGTGAAGTTGGCCTAGATGACATATGATGATGTGCTAGCTGGTGGCTAGTTACAGAGCTATAACTAGGCTAAAACGAACACATTAGCACAGGAAGATCGAGGATGAGGGTCAAACTGTTCTCAGTATGAAACCATGAAGACAGAGTAGACTTCAGTCCACATCTGAAATGATTCAGTAGTCGTGAATCGGTTACCTGCTCACGGTGAAAAAGTCCTGATCTTGACCTTTATGTCCACTCTGAGAAGGTTTCTTTTCTGAAGAATAAATGTGTTTTGTGACTGTTTCCCTTTTTTCCTTTACTTTATGCAACCTAGAAAAACCCTGCTCGAAGCAAGTTCATGTTCAGAAGTCACACAGTGCATGTCAAGACTTTTATTGTGAAAGGAAGAATCAGGAGTATTGCACCTTATGTCCGTGTGCAGAAACAAAGAGCTTCTGTGTGCAGTTTGTGTAACGACAAGATAAACAAAAGGTTTTTTTGACAGAACGGTCGAAACGATAGCTCCATTCTATTTATTCTACTGCTTTCTAGTGCAGTAGAATCCCTTTCTGTGGTTACTGGTGACGTCGCAGCACCGCTTCACATGATGTCCTCCATGTTGGTTTGAAGTGTGACAGTGAGGACCCCACAGGTCTTTGCACTAATAGTCGTCCCCACGTTGACAGACAAACATGTATACACACACACACTCACAGGGGCGGGGTCCTTATGTGTGATGTCAGCAGTCCTATCCAATCGGTGTTCACAGTAAAGCAGCTGGCTCTTCTGTTATAACGTACAGACGTGTGTGTGAGACTGAACAATAAACAGATACTTTCAGCTCGAGGTAAAATCATTTCTGCGTCTGTGGCGTCTCCATTAAAGCTCTAAATGCCTGAAAAACTGTCCTGAACATTAAAAATACAAACCGGCGTGTCCGATGGCGTGGACTAACTCTGTTGTGTCTCTGCTCGGTTGCAGGTTCCCAACCTCGTCTTCCTCGCCGTCAGCCCAGAGGAGAAAGAATCCTGGATCAGCGCCCTGAATGGCGCCATCACCAGAGCCAAGAACAGCGTTCTGGACGAGGTGTGACCTTTGATTATGTAAACAGGAAGCCCCGCTGTGTTTAGTCCCGCCTTCGTTCGTCCCCACTGAAAGCCGCAGACGTTAGCAGTTTGTCACCTGGACAGATTGTGTAGTTTTTCCAGGTTTAAAGATGGAAGCTGTTCAGATCAGCTGAGGACGTCTGGGACAGTCGACGACCTTTCACCCTTGAGCTGTAAATGAAACTGAATCGAGGTTTTTGTTTCCGAGTGTGTCTTTGGCACAAACTGGGTTTTCACGGGAGGTTTGATGGTCGTGCAGAACCGTCTGTGGCGTCGAACACGTCCGTGGCGTCGAACACGTCCGTGGCGTCGAACACGTCAGTGGCGCTAAAATCAGACTTCAGCTTCTGAACGTGTTTCTGTGGTTTGATTCTTTGATACAGGAAGTAGACATGATGAAAGCAGAACTTACTGAACCTGAACATGCGTGTTTCACGTGACTGGGCTGCTTCCCCCACTCACTTCCTGTTACACGCCTGAGCGGCGTCTGATTTTAATGCAGGTCTGACTCTCGATGTTGGCGTTTCCTGCGACTTTTCTGTTTATTCTGCAGCAGCGCACGTGCCAGAGCAGCTGTCTGCCTTTTCCACCGCTCGATACTCACATCGATGCCCGATCAATAGTCTTTCACAGCGTGTTCCAGGCTGAACCACACGCATGTCCTATTGATGATGTGCTGTTACATCCAAACTCCTGAGGTCACGACATGCGGTGGCCACGCCTTAGACTTAGGAATCCATCCAATCACCAGGTAGCATAAACAGTCTGACGGTCAACAGGAAGTACGGCCAGCGTCAGCAGGACGTCCTGAGCTCGTGCTGGCTAACGCTAAGTTACCTACATGGAAGCGTTCGCGGCTCCGTCCATCGGTCTGTCTGCGAGAGCACCATGATGATGATGATGATGATGACTGCAGGTCGTCTTTATGTGACTGTGTCTGGAGCTCCCACAGTGATTGGTGGCCACGTGCCTTCTTCTTCCTCGTTTGTTTTTAGGTGATGGTCGAGGACTCGCAGCTGTCTCATCTGACTCGCGATCGAGTGAAGATCCCTCACAACCGCCGACTGCCAACCAGAGGCCACCTGCTGGCTGTGGTCAGTATCCTCCTCTTCCTCTGGGACTTTATTCTTCATCAAACCTCGAACTTCTGATGTGAATGATGAGGCAGGTTAGCAGCTGGCACGTCCTGTTTGGACACTTTCTACAGCGTGCTGCCTTATTCTGGGATGTGTTGGTGGGATGTTCTGTGTTATTCAGATTTTGGGGTTATGAGCCGTTTTGAACAGTTGGTAAGTTTTTCCAGAGTTTTTCTTTGTTTTAATAGAAGCACTGAACAGTTTTTATTTTGGGCTTTTCTTTGCCACAAATCGTTTTTCCTCTGCTTTGCACCTAAACGTTTGTTCTGACCTGTCAGGTATGTGCAGACTGACTGTGCGACTCTTCGTTCTGGTCGTCAGACTCTTTGTGTCTTTGTTGATTTTCCTCCTCTCCGTCTGTCAGGCCTCCACCTCCTCCTCGGATGGGATGCTGACTCTGGACCTGATCCAGGAAGAGGATGCTGCAAACGCTCAAGGAGCCGGCTTGGAAAATTCCAGGTCCAAAACAGACGGCGCGCTCTCAGCTCGGACTGCCGAGGCTGCTGGGAAATCTCACAGCCTTCCCCGTGAGGTGACGGTGGTCTCGGAGCAGACCCCCCAGCCAGAAAAACGCCTCACGACGGCAGAGAAAAACCGCTGCGCCTCCATGGATGAGATCCTGAGCCACCCTGAGACTAGAGCCGATAAGAGTAAAACGGCGGCAGGGAGTCGTTCGTCTGCCTCCGCACCGACCGCTGCGATGGCGCCCGTCAGTCGGCTGCAGGAGCTCATCAGCCAGAAGTTGGAGAAGACGGAAAGGCTGCTGAAGGAAGTGCGGGGCGACAGCGAGGGTGAGCGGGGAATGGCGAGGTGGGGGAAGGAGTCGACCGAGGCAGAAAGACTCCTGAAGGAGGCGAAGGCGGCCTGGAGTCAGGCGCAGGAGGTGTTGGAGGAGGTGAAGGAGCTCAGGGCGTTGTACCAACAACTGGACTCCACCTCCCCTCTCACCTCTTCTAAAAGTTCCAGACTAAACCCGGACCGCAAGAGCCTGATGTGAGCCGGCCGGCACGGCGCGGGCGAACGGTCGTGTCCGATGGACGAATCACTTTGAAACTCTTTAAATTCAGGTTGTAGCTGCTTCCAGGACTTGATGCCTGAGGCATCGATCCCTCAGAGACTAACCTACAGGTCAAACCTCCAAAACCTAACAGGAAGTGTTCCTCAAAAGGTTCCTGATTCTGGTTGGTCGGCTCGCTGCCTTTGATTAACCCGAGTAGTTTTTCAGTTTAGGTTCCTTTAAAGGAAACTTAGCTGACGTCAGTGTCAGAGAGACGAAATGTGCCAAGACGAGAGTTTGAGACGTGCAAACTGTGGACCCCGATCTCATCCTGGCCTTACCTGTGGATCCTTTATGCTTCCTGTGCTTCAGTTTGAGGCTTGAACTGAAGAGTAATCAGTCGACGGTGTGAATGCAGGTGTTTGCTCAGAGTTGGAGGACGACTCTGAAAGTGACGAACTGCTGATGATTGATTTCCCCACAGAAGACGCTCAGCGTCACGGACCAGCTTTTTCTGGAGCTCTGGACTTCCATCAGAACCAGTTAATGCGACTGGTTTTGTTCTGACTGCAGAGGAGGTCGGAGCGATGTTTGTGCAGCTGTTATTAAGGAATTTAAAGTTGGTACATGAAGTTTTGTTTTTGGCGTCCGCTCCGCCGTCAAACAACAGACCAGAACCAGGTTCAGCTACTTTCACACGTGGTTAGAAAAGTTCACACAAGAATCATCTGACCGGTCATCGTCTCAGCCGCCGTCACGGCGAGGATGAACCGATCTACGCTGCAGCTTTTGCTTCGTCCTGCTCGGACTCTTCTTCCCTGAATGTGGCGCCTTCAGTTGTAGCTGGAAACTCAGGTGTAAAAGTTCATCAGGAGCTGGACCAACTGTCCAATCAGAGCTCCTGAGGTCTGCACTATGAAGCAGGTTCAACATCCAGGGTGTCTTTAACAGCCATAGCATGACCTCGAATCATGCGTGTCCATGGAAACAACCCGTCACACTCAGTTTCTTCGCGGTGCACACCTATGAGCGCGCTCAGACGGTTTTTCGATTCCACAATAACAATCAGCGAGTTTCCTCTAAGTTTATTTTTCTATCAGATTGTATTGAGCTGAAGATGATCGAGGCTCAGTGGGAGCAATAAATAACAAACAGGTAGTTTCACATCCGTCAGAGGCGGGTGTGAGAACCGGTTGATTGTGATTGATTTCATTGATCTGTATCTGTCCTTGCACGTGCTGTATCTGTTTCCTCTTCCTGTGTTTTGATCAATTTATACTCGCACTTCTCCTCGCCAGCTGCTGTAGCCTTAAACCCAGAGGGGATGATGGGAGATGTAGTCCTGAAGGGATGTGAAGCAGGTGGTGATGCTGTGAGTCCTGATCAGTTCATGTGCTAAAATAAAACCTACAAACTCAACCTGGATCTGCGTCTGTTTAATCTGCTAATGAGGAGTGTGTGTGTGTTCCTGTTTTTAGTCAATGTGGGGCCCTCACACTGGGGTTAAGTTTATTCTGTGGAACGTTGGATTCAGATTAGATTTAAGGTTTAGATGAATTACATCCACTTCCACAGACACATCCAATCAAAATTCTCGAATTTCGCTCGCCAAAGGCTCTGACAGCACGGTCTCCAGTTCAGGTGATGCTAGCAGATGGCTAGCAGCTACAGATACCTGTTGGTCAAAGAGGCCACGCCCCTATCACGTTCGAGTACCATCCTGTAAACACGTTTATTTCTGCTGTAACGTTTTAACATGGAGTCTCTGAGACAAGCTCACTGCTGCCTCTGCTGGACGTCAGAGGATCTGCAGGAAACAAATGTGAGTTAATGTAAAGTCCTCAGAAGGGATGAAAACTGAACTTGCAGTGTGTGAGCTCTTGTTGCTAAGAGACCTGCTGTTGCCAACTGACTCTCAGCTGAGATGAGAAACACCTTCAGGTCACACCTGCAGACTCACCTGTCTGTACTAATAAATGCTCAGCGTGCCAGTTTTCAGGGCGCTCTCCTGCACCGCGGCTAAAAACGCCTCGCAGGCGCTCGGATCAGACTGAAGGCAGGAAGCATCATCGTGACTTCTGCTGGTTAAAGGTTGCTCCTGCAGAGGAGCCGGCTGGTGTATGCAGAGGCTGAGCTGAGATGCAGGTGTGATACCTGCAGGGGTTCAGTTACAGTGAGATTCAGCCGACAGCGTGCACCACATTTATCATCCTAAACCTCTGAGGACGAGAGCGGGACGCTGAAGCCGTCGTGACCAGCCTGTGAAAACTCTAGAGTCAAGGAGAACAAAGCTGAGGAAGAGCAGGCCCACTCACCAGTGACGTCTGAGAGCTTCAAAGTCCCTTGCTGGTCACCGCCCTGCGGTGGACACGCCTACCCTCACCTACGTCCCCGCTGCAGAGTAAAGCAGGTGTTTTCCAGCATCAGCAGGCGTGCAGGTCGCTCTCATTCAAACTGGATGCAAACTGCAGATCATTTGCTTATCAGGTGGAGTCTGATGATCGAAACAAATCAAAGACATTTACACACACACACACACACCTGCAGCACACAGGTGAGGCACACACACACACCTGCAGCACACAGGTGAGGCACACACACACACACCTGCAGCACACAGGTGAGG